GTTTACTCCAAATGGATCAGAGACCTAATGTAAACCTCAAACCATAAGAACCTTAGAAAAGGAAGGAAATACTCTCATGGAAATCGGAACTGGCATCCAATTCCTGTACAAAACCCGAAACCCACAGGACTTAAGAGAGAAGATAGACAAATGGGACCTTATTAAACTGACAAGCTTCTGCAAAGCCAAAGAAACCATCAAGAGAGCAGGGAGACAGCCTACAGACTGGGAAAAAGTATTTGCCAACTCTAGGTCTGACAAAGGCTTAACATCCTGGATCTACAAGGAACTGAAGCGTACTGAAAAGAAGAAAACAAACAACCCCATTATAAAATGGGCAAAAGACATGAACAGACACTTCACAAAAGAAGACATTCGAGCAGCCAACAAACACATGAAGAAATGCTCAACCTCACTAATCATCAGGGAGATGCAAATCAAAACCACACTGAGATACCACCTAACTCCAGTCAGAATGGCAATTATCAACAACTCAAAAAATAACAGCTGCTGGAGAGGGTGTGGTGAAAAGGGAACACTTCTACACTGTTGGTGGGAGTGTAAACTAGTGCAACCTCTGTGGAAAGCAGTGTGGCGATTCCTAAAAGCTCTAAAAATTGACCTTCCATATGACCCTGCAATCCCCCTACTGGGAATATACCCTGAAGAACACAAATCACTCTATAAAAAAGATACCTGCACACGTATGTTTATCGCAGCATTGTTCACAATAGCAAAACCTGGAAACAACCATGCTGCCCATCAAAAGAGGACTGGATTAAAAAAATGTGGTACATATACACGATGGAATACTACGCAGCCATAAAAAAGAACAAAATCATGAATTTCGCTGCAACCTGGATGGAACTAGAGTCTATAATACTGAGTGACCTCTCACAAAAACAAAGATCCGAATATCACATGTTCTCACTCATATAATGGACCTTGAACATACAATGCAATACTATAAGAAAACGACTGACGGTACTGGGAAACTATGGGGGGGAGGGGGATGGGATTAACAGTAGCAAATATCTGTCGGGGGATGGGAAAACACCTCTTGTCAACAGGGTGCCTGAATGAAACGTAATTGTACACCTAACCCTTAACTGTACCCCACAAAACTATAATAAAAAATACTGATTAATGAAATAAAAAATAAAATAAAATAAAATAAAAAAAGATCATTTGAAAAAAAAAAAAAGAATCTTCAAGTGCCTTCTTCTCTACACCTTTGCCAAAATGGAATATTATCAATCTCTTACATATTTTTTCAGTTGGTTGGGCAATAAAATTAACATTTCCATGACTAAAAGTAATTTAAAGCTGGAACAAGTAGGAAATGCCAACTTTTCTAAAGTTCTTTAGTAAATATTGAATATATGTACCAGGTAATTAGGATATAAAAACTAATGACATACTAAGGACTTATGTATGATTCAATGGAATATACAGTCAAATGAACAGATGATATAAAGATTATATATCACACATTATTATAATAGTGTGATAAGTACTCTGAAAGAGGTATTCAGTGTGCCATATATAACAGATCATGAAGAGACACATAAATCAGTTTGGAGGATAAGAAAAAGAACCAATACCTGAGCGAACTATTACAGAATATATAGAGGTTGGCAAGGAAACGTAGGGAGGATGGGGAGTAGAGGAGATAAAGACAGCCTGAATAGCAAATTCAAAGACATAAAAGGAAATATAGGTCAGGTGTGGTGGCTCATGCTTGTAATCCCAGCACTTTGGGAGGCTGAGGGGGAGGATCACTTAAATCCAGGAATTTGAGACCAGCCTGGGCAACATAGAGAGACCCTGTCTCTACAAAAAAAATCAAAAAATTAGCTGGGCTACTTGGGAGGCTGTGGTGGAAGAATCACCTGAACCTAGGAGGTCGAGGGTGTGGTGAGCCATAATCATAACATCCCCTCCAGTCTAGGTGACAGATTGAGACCCTGACTAAAAAAAAAAAAGTAAGAAAATATAACACATCAGGCAACTGCATATAGTTCAATGCTATCACAGTGCTACCTGTGAGTGAAAGATGTAAATAGAAGTCCCAGATCAAAGACAACTGTAAAAGCTTTCAACACATTACTCTGGAAGGTAAAACTTTAGTGTGCTATAAATCATCTTTGTATTAGAAGTTGCTTCTATCCCCCAGACAGCAGACGGTTCTCTGGCACTCAAATGCAGGAATGGGTTCCACAGCAGAACAGAAGTAGAAATAAGTATAACCAATACTTCAGGTTTATGCAAACAAAAGGTCTAGTTAGCTAAAACAACAAGGAGCAGAGCACACAAGTACTATGGAAGTAGACCCACAGGCAGTCAGGGTCCCAAGAAAGGCAGGCTGGTGTTACAGAGAGCCTGAGGGTTGGAAAACAAAGAGGACCTCCCAGATGCTTCTGTGGGGAGAGTGCTTCTGGCAGCACTCTCCATGGTCTGGAGCAGAACAGGCACAAAAGATGCTCCTGAGTGAATACCAGAAGAGAAAGCTTTCTGTTTGGTTTAGACTGACCCCTGTACGATTACTCCTGGGCACACACAGCCCAAAGCTGTCACAAATGCTGCTAAAGGTCGCAGATAGGAGTGGTGCCAGCAGTCAACTGACATACGTGGTACAGACACACCAAATGTCAGCAACAAGACTATCATCACTGTTATTTAGTACTGCTCTGAAACAGAGTTTCCCAAACTTGTCTGAAGATTTTTTTTTTTTTTTTTAATTCCTGGGCACTTGTTTAAAAAAACAAAGCAGATTCCTTTGCCTCAACCCAGACCTACTAAATTAATATACCCAGAGGTGAAGGCCTGGTACTCTATATATTTAGCAAGCAGCCCAGATGATTCTTTCCAGGAAATATTTGGAACCACTGCTTCCCCTCAGATTAGAAGCTTTTCACCAATACAAAGAGATTAAAAAGTGAAAGAGAGGTATAACTATCAGAAAGTGATTCAGTTATTGTTTCCTGTAGATGATGTGATTTAAGTATCTACCTAGAAGTCTAGAAAAATGAACTGAAAAAGTGTTAGAACCACGTACTCATAGAAGAGGCAGTGAGATCTCAAGATGGAAATGTCCATAAGATCACTGACTATAAAAGTCTTAACCTAGACAGGCAGAACGGCTGGAATTAAGAACTGCAGAAATGTATCAGTGTCTGGGATAAGGATGAGAGATGGGTGGGAGAGGGAATCTAAAACCTAGAACTGTGTGGAAACATTCTGAGAGAAGGTGCTTTGAGAAAAGAAAAGACGGCTTAGAAGAGAATGCTGGGGAACACAGTAACTGATCTATCAAAGATGATCAAAAGGTTTAATGAATAAATAACACATGAATATTTCATAATTGAACATTCTGTAATCACCAAATGAAGATATGCAATATATAATACACATGTACTAAATTTATTTACAGGAAGAGTTCTACCCTAAATTGGTACCTGTAGATCTCAGAAAGCTCTACAAAACAGATAAGCAATTCACAATCCTGGGTCACAGAGAACCCACTGATCTTTCCCACACATGGAAGTAGGATCTACACTCTCCAGTGCAGCTCTGGTGGCCATCTGTAAGAAGAATCAAAAGAGACCTAAAGTTGAAAAAGCTGTGGGTAAGTGATGACTGCTAAAGGAAATTGCTCATTTGAAGAACTGCTCCATTTAGGTTAAGTCATACACTTCTCTGCAATGGATAAACCTCTTGTCATCTCTTTAAGAATAATCAGGCTACAGCTGAAAAAAATGCCTTGTTGTTTCATAACTACACACCAATTCTTTCTTTGATAGCATCCATCTCTTTAAACAGCTGGGTCCATTTTAAATGTTCTCATTTTAAACTCAGCACTTTTGCAGCTGTAAATGGGTTTATGAATAAATAGTGCAAACACCACTGTAGCATTATTTCAGATGATTGAAAAGAGCAATATTTAAAACATCCCAAGCAACCTACTGAAAATGATCATAAATGTCGTCAGGATACCCCAACCTATTCCCCCTATCCTTCGGAAGGCTCTGGAAAGTCCGTAATTGTTTTGTTTTTTAGTTGGAGTCTTACTCCATCGCCCAGACTGGAGTGCAGTGGTGTGCACACTCACGGCCACCCCAGCGTCAACCTGCTGGACTCAGGTGATCTTTGTGCCTCCGCCTTCCAAGAAGTCGGAACTACAGGCACGCGCTACCACAGTTGGCTGGTTTTTTGATTTATCATAGAGATGAGGTCTCGTCAAGTTGCCCAGGCTGTTCTTGAGGCCTCCCAAAGTGCTGGGATTTCAGGCTTGAGTCACTGTGCCCAGCCGAAAGTTTAATTTCAAAGGGAAGTCCTAAGTCAATGAAGCAGTCAGTTCAACTCTAGGTCAGCAGTCAGCAGAGAGAATTTCAGAGCGCTTTTCCTCCGGCCTCCATACTACCAGTAACAGGAGTAAAGAAAGGAACCCAGAGATCTGCATATTCGTGGCAACCAACAGCCTCTCTTAGGTAACACTCGTAGCCGCGGCACCATGACCTGTCTTGGAGTCTATCTGGAGTTAATTCCAGCACAACCTTTATATCAGGTTATGCCTTTTTTTTTTTTTTTTTTTTTAGCTAGAGTCTCACTCTGTCGCCCAAGCTGGAGTGCAGTGGCACACTCATGGTCACCGCAGCCTCGACCTGCTGGACTCAGATGATCCTTCCTCCTCAGCCTTCCAAGTAGCTGGAATTAGCCACCACGCCCGGCTAATTTTTTGATTTATTGTAGAGATGAGGTCTTGCCAAGTTGCCCAGGCTGGTCTCAAACCCGTAGGCTCAGGCAATCCTCTCACCTCGGACTCCCAAAGTGCTGGGATTATAGACATGAGCCACCACATCTGGCCCAAGTTATGCTTTTTTTCATAAGAAATCCAAGACTCTTGCTTGGATTCTTATTCCTAAAAGGCATTGTACATCCCCTCATTCCTACTAATCCTCAATTCTCAAAACCCTTCTACTTGTCTTCATAGTCCACCATCAGCAAAATCTCTCCTTTGGCTGAGGCTAAAGCATCAACCTCTTCTCTAAATGTTGATTTCAGCTTCTGATTCTAGGAGGAAACCTGGTTTTCTCTGAAGGATTGGCTTCCCTGAGTCATTTCAAGTGGCGGCTGCTTTCCTTCTCAAACCCTTCAAACAGCTGGGTTTCCAGGAGGAGGAAATGTCCTCCTTGAACTTCGCTGCCACTCTCAGATCATTTCTTTTTCCTTAAAATTCTGATTTTGAATGTCATATCATCAGACAAAAACCCTGATTATCCCTCCTGAGTGGAGTCCAACATTGCTAGTCGTAATTCTTGTTGATATCAACACTCACATAGCTGATCTTTCTGATACACTGGTTGTAATGAGTTGAATGGTGGCCCCTAAAGAGACATATCCACATCCTCATCTTATTACTTTCTATGACAAAATATATGAGTAAGCTAAGGTTGAGAGGAGCGTTTATCCTGAATTACCTGGGTGGGCCCAAAATGCAATCACCTGTATTCTTTTCTCTTTTTGTTTTGTTTTGTTTTTGTTTTTTAAATTGGAGTCTCACTTTGTCACTCAGTCTAGACTGCAATGGCATGATCACAGCTCACTGCAGCCTCGCCCTCCAGGGCTCAGATAATCTTCCCGCCTCAGTCTCCCAAGTAGCTGATTTTTAAAATTTTATTGTAAAGACTTCATCTTGCTATGTTGCCCAGGCTGATCTTGAACTGCTGGACTCAAATGATCCTCCCATCTTGGCCTCCCAAAGAGCTGGGGTTACAGGCATGAGGCACCACACCCAGCCCACATGTATTCTTATAAGACAGATACACAGAGGAGAAGAGGAGGCAATGTGACAAAGGAGGCAGAGATTGAAGTGATACAGTCACAAGTCAAAGAATGCCAATAGTCACCAGAAGGTAGAAGAGGCAAAGAACAGTGTGATGGTTAATTGTAAATATCAATTTGACTGAGCCACAGATGCCCAGACAATTGGTCAAACATTTTCTGGGTGTCTCTTTGAGGGTGTTTTTTGGAGATTAATATCTATCTATCTATGTATCCATCCATCTATTTTTTGAGTTGGAATCTCAGTTGCCCAGACTGGAGTGCAGTGGCATGTTCACGGCCATCCCAGCATCGACCTGCTGGAGACACGCAATCCTTCCACCTTAGCCTTCCAAGTAGCCGGAGCTACAGGCACACACGCACTACCACGCCCAGTTAATCTTTTATTTGTTGTAGAGAGGAGGTCTCGCCAAGTTGCCCGGGCTGGTCTCGAACCCGTGGACTCAGGCAATCCACTTGCCTCAGCCTCCCAAAGTGCTGGGATTACAGGCTGAGCCACCAAGCCCAGCATGAGATTAATATTTAAATTGGGAGATACAGTAAACAAGATTATCCTCCCTAGTGTGGATGAGCCTCATCCAATGATTTGAAGGCCTGATACAATAAAAAGGCTATTCCCTAACTAAGAAGAGAGAATTCTTCCTATCTGCCTTCAAAGTAGGACACTGGCTTCTTCCTGTCTTTGGACTCAAAATGAAAAACCTGTTCTTCCTGGGACTTGAATCTGCCAGCCCTCAGAACTACCCCATCGGTTTTACTGGTTCTCAGGCCTTCAGACCAGGGCTGGACTTGCATCATCAGCTCTCCTGGGTCTCCAACTTGCCAACTCACCCTGCAGATCCTGGGACAAGTCATGCTCCATAATTGAGTGAACCAGCTCCTTATAATAAATCACGCAAACACACACATACACCCTGTTGAATCTGTTTCTCTAGAGAACCCTAATACAAATGGATTCTTTCCTAGAGCCTTCAGAAGTGAGTGTGGCCCTGATGAAACTTTGTTTACAAACTTGTGTCCAGAACTGTGAGAGAAGAGATTTATGTTGGTTTAGGTCACAGAGTTTGTGGTAAGCTGTTAAGGTAGCTCTAGGAAACGAATACACCTGTCTTCCCTGAACTCTCCTTCAAAAACCACTCCCCTCCCGTATGTCGGCCACCATTTCCAGTTACCTCCTACAACATTTTGTTACCAGTTACTGTACATCATCTAAAATCTCAGTTTCAAGCACCTACTTTCATACCAACTTCCATCTTTCTAGCCTGCTCCTTCTAGTACCCTGCCTCCAATAATACTTCAATCCCCTGGATCTATAGTACCTTGAGCTTAACATCTTTACCTTATCTCTTTCATGGCCTCATTTCTATCTTGAGTCAACCAACATGCGTGGTTCATTATTATATTTTCTTTGCATACTCTCCAACCCCCTTGCCATTCCTCTTCCTCCATCACATTTTTCTGTCAAAACCCCAACCCTATTCGCTCTGTGCCTCTACCCACATATTGTATGGTGGGAGGAAAATACACGACTATGCCAACTGATCTGACTTTGAATTCATAACCACCAACCTCAAGTTAGTCATTCCAATGTCAATTTAAATGTCACTTCCTCAAAAAGGCTTTCTCTAGTCATCCAATTAAAAAAAAATCTTTATTGAGATGTAATTCACATGCCATAAAATCTACCCACTGAACAATTCAGTGGTTTTTAGTAAATTCAAGGAGTTGTACAACCATAACTAATATCTAATTTCAGCATATTTTCATCACCCTAAAAAGAAATCCAACACTCATCGCTTCCCATTCCTTCCTCTCCCCAGTCCCTGGCAACCACCAATCTACTTTATGTGCATTTGCCGATTCTGTACATTTCATTCTGTCTCTATACATTTGGCTAGTGTGAACATTTTAAATAAATGGAACCATACAATATGTGACAATTTGTGTCTGTTTTTTCATTTAGCATAATGTTTTCAAGAGCCATCCATGTTTTCTCCCCAGACCCTGACTTTTTCACTTAGCAATGTCTTCAATACATGTTGTAGCATATATTAATACTTCATTTCTTTTGACTGCCTAATAATGTTCCATTGAATTGATAAGCCACACTTTGTCCAGTCATCAGTTGATGGATATTTGGGTTATTTCCACTTTTTAGTCATGTTGAATAATGTTTCTATAAACAAAACGTGTGCAAGATTTTGTGTGGACATATATGTATTTTCAAATCTCAAGCATATATATCTAGAAGCAGAACTGCTGGATCATATGGTAAGTCAATGTTTAACATTTTGAGAACCTGCTAAAATGTTTTCCATTGTGGATGAACCATTTTACATTCCCACCAGCAATGTATAGGGGTTCCTATTTCTTTACATCCTTGTCAACAATTGTTATCATCTTTTTTTATATAGCCAACATAGTGGGTATGAATTGGAATCTTACTGTGCTTTTGATTTGCATTTCCTTAATTGCTGAGCGTTTTTTCATGTGCCTGTTGGTCATTTGTGTATATTCTTTGAAGAAATGTCTATTCAGATCCTTTACCCATTTTTTTCCCCAAAAGATTAAACATTTTTTATTGTGGTAAAAATACATAACATAAAATTTATCATCTTAACCTTTTTTTTTTTTTTTTTTGAGTAAGAGTCTCATTCTGTCACCCAGGCTGGAGTGCAGTGGCACGCTCATGGTCACCCAAGTGTCGACTCGCTGGGCTCAGGCAATCCTTCCACCTCAG